GGTCACAGAGGGGCTGACACTGTTCAGAGGAGTCCCCTGGATGAACCAATCTCCCCAACTTTTCTGACACTGAATGCTAAGGCTTCTGGGAATTCCAAAAGGCTACTTGTTCTCTGAGAGCATAAAACAGTATCTTTCAAAGCCAGGCATTAAAAACTGAAGGGCTGAGCCCTCACTCAGCCTTCTCCAGTTTTGACTGACAAGTGAGACACCTTTGTCTTTGAACAGGCTGCTTTTTAGGGGGTGAGGTTGATGAGAAAAGGAGTCAGAGAGGGAGAGGGAAGATCAGTCAAAGCATTTTCTCATTAAGTGGCCAGAGGCAAAGATTCCAAGGAGTTAAGCTCGGTGATGAAAGGGGAGCAGAGAGGAACAAGCCTGTCAGGGTGGGGGTGGTGGCTGACAGAGGGCAGGGAAGAGACAACCAGGGAGCACCCCCTGGGGGTTGCTGCCCTCTTTGCTACCATCAGCTCAGGCTGTCACAAGCCCATGCTGCCTACTGACTCAGCATCAACAAGGCTCCACAAACCGGTTCTGTTATATCATAGAATCCTTAACAGCCGTTTGAGGCAGGCTTTATTGCCAGACCCATTTTATAGATGAGAAAACTGAGATTCGAAGTGTCTGCTTCACTTTCACAAGGTCAAGTAGTTCCCATCACACATGTGCAGCTTCAGAGATACCATGAAGGAAGTCCAGGTGTCTAGTCATAATGGAAGCACCTGGCAGGAGAGATAGCTCTGAGGTTGGGAACACTGGCTGCTCTTTGAGAGGACCCAGGTTCAATTCCCAGCACCCGTATGGCAGCTCACAACTGTCCCTAACCGGACACCCCCACACAGAGATATGTGAAACACACATGATATAAAAATAAATAAAATTTCAAAAATAATGGAAGCACCTAATTAGAAAAAGTGCTGGGCCAGCGTCGAGTGATGGGGCTACATTTCTGACATCAGGAGACATGGGACACAGAGGCTTCGAGGAACAGGCTCTGCAAGAAGCCCAGGAGAAGAGAACAGATCAGGGCCTAACTGGCTGCCAGGGCTCAGGGAAACCTAGGTTTAGGGCCACGGGAAGAAGATTATCAGGTAGACAGTTAATTGCTTCTCAGTCTTTTGGCAAAGGTCAAGTGTAGGAATACAGGGCCTGTGAGCACTGTTCTTGGGCATCTGTGAGCTTCCTGTTTGCACAGAGGGCAGGAGTAAAAGGAAGACTAGGACTCTGGCTAGTGTTCAGTCCCTCGGGACACTTCTCTCTTTCCGGTTTATCTTTCCCATGGCTCTTCTCACCCTCTCATGTGACATGTGTCCATCTTTATGTCTCTTTCCCATGAAAGCATGGCAGCGTGTAAGCATTTTCATAGCTTGGATTTTTCCTGCCCTCTCCACTTCCGGATCTCAGCATCTTTCAAATGTGTGGTACTTAGTGAATGTTCAGTAAACATTTGTTGAAGGAATGAACTGGTGACAGATCTTTGCCACAGGGTCTCTGCCTCCAGCTGCTTCTGCTGACTCACTGCCTGGCTGTGGGGCTGGCAGCATGGCAGCCTTGCCTTACCTACCAGGACCCCCTTGGTTCCTTGTCCTGCAGCCTGAACAAGCTAGGCCAGGACCCCAGGGGGCAGGATCAAAGTCAGAAGCCAAGCGCTCTTATACGTGAACAACAAATGAAAAGAGCAGTCGTCCCTGTGACAGTGAACGAATGTAGACATTGGTCAACCTCTTCCTTTATTAAAGTTGATTAAAAGAAAACTAAGGCAAAGAAGGGCACTCCTCCCCCTCCTACAGTACCTATGACGGTCCCACAGGGCCCCAGGGATGCTATTCTGACTCTGCTCTAAGGAGAAGGAAGAATTACAAAGACACCCCCCTCCCACGCACACACACTCTACAGATGCTTCTGTCTGAAATTGTCAGTGAGGCCCCAAGCAATCACGTGTCATGACTTTTATTCTTCAGCAGCTTTCAACTCTGAAGGGAGTGCTCCCATCACATCTAAGGTTAACTATTTGCTCTGGGGAGATCTACCCTGAGCAAAGAGAAGGTTCCATCTTCCAGGGTGTCTTTGAAAGGCCTTGGTCATCAAAGCCAGCCGGCAAAGCTTTCTGTCTTCTGAGTGAAGGCCAGCAGTGCTCCTGGTCTGATGTTTGATGGACAGGAGGCTGGCTTTACTTTAAACACACGCGGCTGCAGCTTGCTTGCTTCGTTCTAATCCAGGGTGTGCCCAGCAGGTTTCTGCTTCCTCCTAACACTGGGACCACAGTCACTGTTTTAAACCAGGCTAGATTTGCAGATGTCTCCTCTTTCCTGACTGCCTGTGACAAAGCATGTGAGTTACAGTAGTCCATGTAAGAAGCCCTGGTCAGCTGGGCAGTGGTGGCCAACGTCTTTAATCCCAGGTAGGCAGGTGGATCTCCGCTGGCTGACTCTGCTTGCAGCATGGCAGGCAGCCTTGCCTTGCCTACTGGGGCTTCCTCAGTCACTTGTTCCGCATTGGAAACTTAACACACACGTGAACATGTACCCACACCTCTGCACCAACACCTCTCCACCCCACGTAGAAACAGTCCCTGCCCTTGGGAAGATACTCTTAGAAGCAAAACCAGGTGGTTGTTCCTATGACTTCAACACATATTTATTAGGTGCCAAGCTTTGAAGAAACAGGAAAGCAACGAGTTCTCATCCTTCTGTAGTTTCCAAGACAGTAATGCAGATAATTAGCACACAATTGTACAGGGCATTAATTAATCACACTGTGATTACTACAAAGAGCTACAGAAGACCAAGAGAGTCAATTACAAAGGACAGCGTTGGAGAGTCAATTACCAGGAACAGGGTTGGCGAATCAATGGGAAAACTAGAGAGCAGGCTAAGAAGAAAATTCAATGGAGGAAAATGTCAGAGGCAGCACTCAGGGGCCAGTGGACCCTCAGTGAGGCAGGAGTATAGGAGAGGACAAGCCATCTCTCTGGGGAGTAAGAAATGGCTAAGTGGAAATAGCTGGGGTCCTGAAGCGGTCCTTACCAGCTTGGTTTTTGTTTTGTTTTGTTTTGTTTAGACAGGGTTTCTCTGTGTAGCCCTGGCTGTCCTAGAACTTGCTCTGTAGACCAGGCTGGCCTAGATTTACCTGCCTCTGCCTTCCAAGTGTAGAGATTGGATTACAGGCATGTGTCATCACCACCCAGCTTTATTTTATTTCATTTTTACTAGCCTGTTTCTTGCTGATCAAGACCATTTATTGCACCAGGTGTGGTGGTGCACACCTTTAATCCCAACAGTCTGAAGGCAGAGGCAGGTGAGTCTATGAGTTTGAGGCCAACTTGGTCTATATGGCAAGTTCCGGGCCAGCCAGGGCTACACTGTGAGACACTCTGCGGGTTTGGAAGGAGTGAGAATACTTAAGTATGGTGGTACATCCTATAACCCCAGCACTTGAAGCTGAGGGGGAGCACTTTGATTTCCCAGTGTTATTGCTGCCTCTTCACAGATGAGCAGGCCAGTATTAAGTGCCTTGCCTCAAAATCAGGAGCTCCAGGGTAGCTGGTGGTTTGGTCCTGGACCTGCCTCGTTCTTTAATCATAGCATTCTCTACTGCCAATCTTTTGTGGGAGTTGTGGGGGGGGGCACTCTACAAATCACACCCCTCAGCCTTATTATCATTTAACAGAAGAGAAGCTCAAGGTCAGACTTACACCTGTCTCCATCACACAAGTAGTGGACGTGGGTGCCAGAAGTAGGTCTCCAAAGAAGAGAGCGTTATCTGGCTAAGTATGCGTGTGTTCATTATTTCAACTCCTGTGCAGAGGCAGCATAGCGAAGAAACTCACATCCTGAGAGGTTCTAGAAGCAAGCAGACATCTTGGGTCTGTTGAAAGAGACAGGCGCCCCCTGCTGGTCCAGTACTACTTAGGTAGGAGGCAGGTGGCTGTAACCCATCAGGTGTCCATCCTGATGAGACCAAAGGAGAGGACTCCTGAGTCCTCTAAGGACCCCAACATTTACCCACACAGATACCAGTTTAGCCTAATGAGAATGCAAAGTGGGCTGGAGTCGAGTAGTAAAAGGGCAAGAACGTTTAGACACTTGGCAGGAAGGCCAAACACTTAAGAATATTTTAGTCTCTATTGTCCTTAACAACATGCACACACTGTGTTACAGTCAAGAATATCCAGGTTGTTACCCATAAACTTAAGAATCAGTTAAAATGATGAGGCCCAAGGCTGGGTTTACAGGCAAACACAACCTCACTGCTGTGGACATTATGAACCAGCCCAGCTGTCCTGAGGTAATCTGGTCTGAGAAGCATTTCTATGTTATGGGTCTGCTGATCCCACTCTTGGGAGCTTTTGGGTGGGTGGGTAAATTATTTTATTTCATTTTTAAAGTTATTCATTGTTATTGTATGGGTGTTTTGCCACCAGGTCTGTGCACCACGTGCGTGCTTCGTGTCCTATGAGTCCAGAAAGGGTGCTGGATCCCTGAAACTGGCGTGACAGACAGGTGTGAGCTGTCATGTGGGGGCTGGGGATGAAACCCGAGCAGTCAGCACTCTCAACTACTGAGCCATTTCTCCAGTCCGTGAGCTCTTGTTTGTCTTAAAGCTAGGGAGCCTTTTTACAGAAGAGAAAACCTATCCAGGTAGCTGCTCATGGACGCTCACTCCTGTAATTGGGGGCGTGCTGCCTAGTTCTGCTCCGGCCAGCAGGGGGCGCCGAGGAGAAGATGGGCGGAAGGCCACGGTCCTCAGAGTCGGGATTTCTGGCTCCAGAACCGGATTGCCGCTCAGCCGCCAGCCCGTCCGGTGGTCCTCCTGCAGCAGCGTCCAGAAAGCAGGGTTCCGACCAGACTGTAGCCACCCGCGAGAGACCCGGCTGCAGCAACACCCGCCCGGGTCCGCGCCTGCCCGGAAACGCGGGCGCTCAGGGGGCGGGGCCTGGAAGCGCTTCCGGGGGCGGGGGGCGCGGGCAGGGGCGGCAGCGGGAGCGGCGGGGAAGGGCCTGGCGCCGGCGGCGGCGGCGGAGGGGGCGCCGCGGGCGGGCGATGTGAGCGCGGCGCGCGGCCCAGGTGAGGCTGGCGGGCCGCGGGCGGAGGCGGCAGGGTCGGGACGGCCCGTGGGGCAGCTGTCCAACCCCCCGTGGGCGCGGCGGGTCGGGCGAGACGCTGCCTGGTCAGTGCCGGGGCCGGCCGGGCGGGGTCCTGAGGCCCGGGCACCTGCCGGAGGCCAGGCAGTTGTCCAGGAGGGGCGAACCAGGGCTGCTGCCTCGCACCTCTCCAACCTCCGCCCCGAGCGGCTTGCTCTTCCTCCGGTACCGAGGGGTCTTAGTGACCGTGGTCCCCGGAGAGCCAGGCCCGGCCTGGGGGGGTCAGCGGGAGGCTGCCCAGGAGCTGCTGCCTCCGGCCACTGCTTTGGGCCAGGTAAACAGGCGGCGTGTGTTAAGCTTGGCCGGGGTGGTCTCCGTGGTCACTGGCGCACGGCTGGGGACGGACAGGGGAGGGGGGCGTGTAAAACATTGCTCGCCTAGGCCAAGTGACTGCTCTGGGCTACTTAAATCTGGGACACTCCATCTTGAGGTTTTCAGCAAGTTTTTTTCCGTGCTGGGCCTCAGTTTCTCCACCTGAGAATTGAGAGTTTAGATGAACTCCCTACAGACCCCTCATGATGTGAACGTCTGACATTGCAAGGTCTATACCTGGTTCAGCATGCTGGGCAGTTTTACCGAAGTCTTCCCCGAGACCCCAGATGTAGGCTTTTTAACCGCTTCGTGCACTTTGTCGCAGGGAGGTTTCAAAATGATTCCCAGAAACGTTTTCTTGGAAATAGCTCTACTGATCCTCCGTCGTTCCTTGCCGTCGGCCTGTGGAGCGTTTTGCATGCAAACATTTTGCTGTTTGTATTTGCCCATTTTGTCTTTGTTCCCTAGTCTAAGCTGTTTTTGCCTCACATCTGGATTATTGCAACAGCTTCGTAGCTGGTCTCTTGACTCCAGAGGTTTCACCCTCCCCCATCCTTCCTTTATGCTAACGCCAAACTTAGTATAGGAAGTACAAAAAAAATTAGTTGAGTCCTTGCTTTCGTAGTAAATGTCACGTTGTGAGTGGTGGAGAAAAGGAGTTGAAGGCACTTTGATTCTCCAAGGCTTTAGAGTGGGTGTTCAGACATTGCCTGTGAAAAGGTAATGTCGGTGAGAAAAGTCTGCGTCCTATAGGATCAAGCAGGAGAGGTGGAGGTCAGTAGGCAGTTGTGGGGCTTACTGAAGGGGTGGTACTTAACTGGGCGTTGAGGGCCAGTAGGATTTAGATGGGGGAAAAAGGATCCTATGGAGTTAGTGACTAGACCGGAGGGCTAAGATGGGAGAGGAGTAGGAGAGGAGGAAAGATTGATTAGGCTTGGTTCCTGAACGCTAGGTCAAAGTTGAAACTGTTGTAGAGGCAGGCATTTTCCAGGAGCAAGAGACCAGGGTTGCTAGCGGTGGAAGGAACAGAGGCTGGGACAGTGAACTAGGGGAACAAGGCAGACCACTGCTAAGAGCTGAGTCGTGTCCTGCTCGCTTCATGGTGCTTCGCTGTTCCCTCGGGCCCCCTCCGTTTGGTTTACTCCTCTCATTGGAGCCTGACTTTTCTCCCTGCCTCCGTTCTCCAAGTTACAGGCAGGTTACGACTGCCTGTAGGGGTGTTGTTCCAATCTTCTGAGCACATTCTCCATTTCACTTCCTTCGGCCCCTGCTGAAGATACACTTCCTCCAAAGGGTGTTCCCTCACCGCCCTCCCCCATGCCTTTGTGGCGCTGGGACTCCAAAGCAAGCTTCCTTGGTTATGGAGCCTGTCCCGGCCCAGCTGGAACAGCAGTTTTGTTTGAAGTCACAGCATGTTAATGCTTCTTTCAGATTCTTTCTGCTACCTGATGCTGGAACTGGAATTTTGATAATAGGTCCTCAAACAGTTCCTGATTTTTGTTGGTAAACAACTTTTTTTTTTCTTGAAGGAAAAGCTGTTAATAGTTAACAACAGCTTTTAGTTAATAACTTTCTCTGTCCTCTGTAACTGCTGGTGCTTAATGCTGCAATTCCAGGTGGCTGTTTTCAATTTTATTCTCAAATGCAGAAAGCACAGAATAAATTCTGTGAAACAGGATCAGGAAAGAAAAAAAATAGGAGGAATTCTTAAGTCTATGGGGAAAGCAAGCATCAGACAGGCCTGAGTTTGAATCTCAGCACAGCCACTCACCAACTAGGTGAACTCCAGCAACTTATCACATTCTCTGAGCTTGCCTCTTTCGTGGTGTTGCTGTTGTTGTTTGTTGTTGTTTGGTGCTGAAGAGTTAATTAACCCAGGGCCTCACAAATGCTAGGCAAATGCTCTACCACTGAATTGCATCTCCAGGTTGAACCTGACTTTTCTTACTTGTAATGTATAATAAAGTCTGCGCTGTAGGGTTTTACAGTGTGTGTGTGTGTGTGTGTGTGTGTGTGTGTGTGTGTGTGTACAAACATGTACACTTACGCTAGGATGGAGTGACAGGTATACTATTCTACCTTTCTCCCAACTCCTTGTTATCTTTTGAGACAGGGTCTCAGATGGGTTGACCAGCAAGAAGCCCTAGAGCTTCTCCTGTCCCACCTCCCCAGTGCTGGGACCACAAGCAGGAGCCTTTGCATGGCATCATGGGTGCTGAGAATCTAAATTCAGGCTGGCAAAGTAAGCTCTTCCTAAGCCTACACCCTCTCCACAGCTGCTGTGACTTTTAATGAAGATGGCATACAAAGGAGGTAGCAAAACTTAGGGACTGCTAAAGACATTTTACTGTGATTAGGTGAGGTGCTCTCAGAGTGCAAAGGAGATAGACTGCCATGTTCTCTGTCTAGCCCATCTGTACATGTCTCTTATTTTGCCTTCCGGTTGAAGCAAGAATGTCAAGTATTATGAACCTAGAGTCCCATCATTTTGTTATATTTCCATTAATTTTCATGTTATTTTAGTTGAAATTCTGTTTCATGCTTTCAGACTTCTTACTTGTGTCCATTTAATGTTTTGTAGCTGACAAACTGCTGAATTTAGTTTAGTGAAGGTCACCAACTGAGTGTAGTCAAGCTTCTAAGGGTTTTTTTCTGTTGATGTTGCTGGCATGGAAAGCACCCTGGAAGGATGCAGTTCAAGGTGAGCCTTTCTAATCTGTTTGTTATAAGAGGTGGAACGCGTATATTTTCCAGGTTTCCTAAAAAAGCCAGCCATGAGCAGATACACATTAATTTATTTGAAGGGTCTTGCTTTAAGAAAGCTTACTCCTTCTGCCTGAAACAGAGTCATTTTTTCAGCCCATGATTCAAATGTGAAAAATATAGCCAGGAACACCAGGCAAAACTCTGGCACCATATTAGACTGAAACAGGAGGATTACTTGAACCCAGGAGTTTGAGTCCAGCTGGGTAACATAGCAAAGTCCTATCTTTAGAAGAAAAGCAAAGATTTTGAAATGCTTTTTGGGGCCGACTTTACTAACAGTATAAAAACAATGAGCATTTCACAGTCAAAATTTGAAAACCATTTGAAATGTTTGTCCAGTTTGACATTATGGCCCCCTTAACCACCACGTCAGACCAACTGAGTTTTATAGGGCATCTTGAATGGGATTTGTCTTGCCACTTGAAATGGGTCGTGTGGACACCAAGAAAAGCCACACAGCTCACCAGGATTCCTGAGTTCTTCTCTTCCTTCTTAGAGGGGTATACACTTTGACCTTGAGACTGACAAATGTGGTTTCAGTTCCTAGCTGGTTGTCATTAACTAAGTAACTCCAGGAAAGTTCCTTGTCTCTTGGAGGAGTATGTCTCTTCATCTGTACAGTGGAAATAGTTGCAGCGTTTGTGTGTTGCCAGGAAGAGCTTCTTCTGCACAGTGGCAGGGCAGGAGCTAAGAGCAGCTCGTCCTCACTGATGCTGGTTAGGTTGAAGCAGCCATTCCTCTCCTGTGTGAAAAGCTCAGAAGCGCCTTCCAATGTTTTGCATTGACTAAGACAACTCACACCCTCCCCAAATTAGTGTATCTGGGCAGACCTGGAGAGTGTTAGCGCCTCGCTCAGAAATGTAACAGTTCGGATAAAAATGTTCTCTCACATGAATTAATGCAGTAAGAACTCTAAACTTGTTTTCCTTTAAATTAGGAAGCGCCCTTCATGAATATCCATCACAGAATGCCATTTCCTCCCTTCTTTTTTTCTTGAGTTGAGTTTCATCGGCATCACAATGCTTCCTGCAGGCATACTGCTTGCTTATCAGGCTACCGAAAGCCTGGGTTTGGAATCACACACATCTTGACTGAGAATAATGGTCCTTCCTAGTGCCTCAAACAGCTTCCAAATTTGTCACCTTCCTTTCTTTTCTTGGAAATGTAGCATCTCTGGAAGCAGCAGAGTTTCCAGGTGAGATAGAAGTCAGCCACTTTGCAGATTTTGCTTTCTGTCTATCCTGCACCTCCAGGATCTTCAGCAGGGCAGCCTGAGTGCTGAGGGTACTGCTGTCATGGCAGTCCAGAGGCCTTGACTTAACCTGCTTGGTTTAGGATGCATCAGCTGACCCATGCTAAGAGCTGCTTGTGAGGTCCCTGCCTAGGAGCTCGTCTGGCCGAGTGAGACAACACCCATTGCTTGGTCTGTACTCCAGGTTGTCATGGGGAGAGCATTCCGAGGCTTTACCTGTGGCCGTTATGAAAGGGACTTTAAGCCCTTTCATATTTTGTCCAGGTAATATTTAGGAGTCTCTTGTTTGTAGTAGGCTCTTGGGCACAGGTTGTGGTGTAAGAGGTTTTGTGTTAGTTTTCCTCACATGTAATGTTAGGTGTGGTGCTGGATTTTGCTTTCCATCCTAGTCAGTGGAAGTGGTGTTTCAGGAGGATCGGGTGTGTTGACTCTGACCCACTACTACTATGTTAGAGGGCCTCTCCCTAGGAGCAAATGCATTCTTTGCTTCTCAGCTCTTTTTTCCCTCCCTAGCTCTGTAATGCAATGCCCTCTTCAGTTAGCAAATTGTTGATCAGTCCTCAGTCTCTCCCACTCCATACCTCCTCCTGCCC